CAGGGAGGAGCACCTCTCGTCCGGGACCTGCTCCTTCGCCATCCAGTAGACGGTGGTGAGGACGGCCACCTTCGCCGGGTTCACCTCCACCTTGATGAGCGGGTGCAGCTGCGGGCGGCCGTGGAGGCGCGTCTCGAAGGCCGACTGCTCGCGGTTCACCGCCAGCGCCTGGCGGTGCGCGCCCGAGGTGACGTGCCGCAGCAGGGCATGGCGCTGGAAGTTGTCCGTGCCCACGGTAAAGGCGTTCTCGGCTTTACCGTGCTTGTTCTTCACCAGCGCCTGCCGACACTCTATGCAAAACATGAGTTTCCGCTCATAGTCAAACTCCAGCCAGGTAAATTCTTCCTTCCAGTGCTCATTGAAATAGCGCTTACACTTTTTATTGGAATTGGAAGTTTCCCCGGCTGGCTTTTTCCCTGGAGGCACCATATTGCCGCGGCTGGGAAACCAAACGCTACGGCTGGACCAAAACGAGCCTTGGAGGAGCAGGCTCTACACTTAATTTAGTGAGAAGGTCTATTACAATGCTCCTGGTCCGACTGGGGATGAAAGAGACACAAGGGAGAGGGGTTAGGGCCCCGCGCGCCTCTGCCTCCGCTCAGCGTTAATTCCTGGCTGCTAACGAAGAGCCGCGGTGGCACGGGGGGGACATCACGGGGCGTCCCACCGAGCACCTCATGGGTGTCACTGGCAGCTCTCGGTGTCATTGGTGGGACAGGGATGCTCAGCATCGGTGGGGCCTGGGACTGCAAAGCATTTACACACGGATTTAAACCGGGTTGCAGAAGTTTTTAAGCATCCACTGAACTCCTGCCCTGAATTTCAGCCCTGCTCGGGCCTATCCTCACATTCTTCCATGAACTGGATTGGAAAAACCAAACTGAGCCTTGGCAAAGGAGAAGCAGGAGGAACCCAGCACAAGGTGAGGAGGGCAGGGAATGAAAACACGGAGGAAAAAGGAAAGAAAATGGACATTATGCAGCAGCGCAAACCAGGGAACGCTGTCTGGTTTGCTGAGAAACCCAGAGGGAAGTTGAGGTTTTTCTGAAGAACAAAACCCCCAGAATGAGAGCCATCAGCAGAGCCCGCAGGGATGGGCAAAGCTTCACGGTGCCTGCGATGAAGCAGGGCTGGCAGCGGACGCGAGGGCTTCTGCGTCTCACCCCGCTGGTGAACACGGTCTGGTTCACTCCTCAGAGCCAGGGCTCCCACCCGGTCCCACACCACGGCACAGCGCAGCCAGGAGCACCCAGAGGTT